TTCTCGTGGTTTCGCAAGCGTTGCTGAAATTCCGAGATCCAGCAGCAAGTTGCTTTAGTAGTGTGGCATTTATCGTTGTAGAATGAGAGAGAGAGAGAGAGAATCCTTTCCCTCCCCCCAAGGGTACGTTTATATTCATAAGCATAATGGGCTGACCCATGATATACGGCTCGCCTTGGTCAAGGCTGTCCCTTTGCGTTCTCTCGTCATTATTAATCCCGGTTTTGCGTTCCGCGACGCGACGTGACGCCATATCTCAAATTTATCACTCGCGCTGTGTGACTAAAGCTTCCATTTCACATGAAAATCACAATGGTCCTCATTGCGCGACACCTTATTCAAAGTGCGAACTCGAGAAAGGATATTTGTTTTGATGTTGAACGTATAAGGGAATTTTAATTTTTTGATCCTATATATTTTAAACTTTAATCATACACTTTCAACTATTTTTACATAAAATTGGAATCTACTTCATTCAGCACTTGAACCTACTTTGAACTTGCACTTGATCCTACTTTGACACCGCACTTGAACCTACATTGACCCGAAATCAGAACCTAAATCACCCTGCACTTGAACCTATTTCGAACCTACTTTAACCCTACACTTGAACCTACAATGACCCAAAATCAGAACCTAATTTACCCTGCGCTTGAACCTATTTTGACACAAAATCTAAACCGAATTTATCTGTACTTGAACCTACTTTAACCTTGCAATTGAACCTTTTTTTATCCTACATTTGAAACTACTTTAGCCCTGCACTTGAACCTACATTGACCCTACCGTTGAGTCTACTTTAACCCTGCACTTGAACCCATTTCGAACCTACTTTAACCCTGCACTTGAACCTATTTTGACCCTGCACTTGAACCTACAATGACCCAAAATCAGAATCTAATTTACCCTGCGCTTGAACCTATTTTGACACAAAATCTGAACCGAATTTTTCCTGTACTTGAACCTACTTTGACACTGCACTTGAACCTATTTTTATCCTACATTTGAACCTAATTTAGCCCTGCACTTGAACCTATTTTGACCCAAAAACAAAACATGATTTACCCTGTACTTGAACCTACTTTGACACTGCACTTAAACGTATTTTTATCCTACATTTGAACCTACTTTAGCCCTGCACTTGAACCCATTTTGAACCTATTTTAACTCTGCACTTGAACATATTTTGACCCTACACTTGAACCTACAATAACCCAAGATCAGAACCTAATTTACCCTGCACTTGATACTATTTCGAAACTACTTTAACCCTACACTTGAACCTATTTTGACCCTGCACTTGAACCTACAATGACCCAAAATAAGAACCTAATTTACCCTGCACTTGATCCTATTTCGAATCTACTTTAACCCTACACTTGAACCTATTTTGACCCTGCACTTGAACCTACAATGACCCAAAATCAGAACCGAATTTACCTTGCATTTGAACTTATTTTGACCCAAAATCAGAACCAAATTTACTTTGTACTTGAACCTACTTTGACCCTACATTTGAACCTACTTTAGCCCTGCACTTGAACTAATTTTGACCCAAAGACAAAACATGATTTGCCCTGTACTTAAACCTACTTTGACACTGCACTTGAACCTATTTTTATCCCACATTTGAACCTACTTTAGCCCTGCACTTGAACCTATTTTAAACCTACTTTAACTTTGCACTTGAACTTACAATGACCTAAAATCAGAACTGAATTTACCTTGCACTTGAACTTATTTTGACCCAAAATCAGAACCAAATTTACTTTGTACTTGAACCTACTTTGATCCTGCACTTGAACCTATTTTGACCCTACATTTGAACGTACTATAGCCCTGCAGTTGAACCTACATTGACCCAAAATCAGAACCTAGTTTACCCTGCACTTGAACCTATTTTTATCCAAAATCATTACCTTGCACTTGAAGCAATTTTGAACCAAAATCAGTATTTTTTCGACCCTGCACTTGAACCTTTTTTAACTCTGTACTTGAATCTATTTTGACCATAAATTTGAATTTATTTTTACGCCTTCGTTTAAATCTATTTTTACTCTAAATTAATAACAATTTATTTAATTTTTTTTTTATGAAAAAATTTGTATAATTTTTTGCAAAGATTTAAACGTAATGAATTATTTTATTTCTCTATTTTGCATTTTGTGTTCTGTTTAAGATGAAATGCATGTACATTGCATTTAATCAGTAATTTATTATCTTTCTATATATATATATGCATATACTTTACAAAGCATCCAGATACGATTTGTCTTTTGAATATATATTTTCCTAAAGATTTCCAGTTTAAAACAATAGAGAGTTTCAACAATTCCGATTCTATAGTCTAAAGACATTTTCCTCATTGCATATTTAATTTGTTTTCTTGAAACAGTCTCTTTCTCTCTCTCTCTCTCTTTACTCTCTGCGCCATTTGCAAAACATTAATGTTACTTCCGCTATGTAAATTTATATTACAGTCTAACACTTTATAGGATATTTTTAAAATGAATAAATCAACAAATTGATTTAAAATAAAATTACTGTAAAGAAAAGAAAACATTTTTTTTTTGTTAATATTTATGAAAGGGGAAAATAATAATAATAATAATAATAATAATAATAATAATAATAATAGTAATAATAATAGTAATAATAATAATAGTAATAATAATATTTGTAATAATAATAATAGTAATAATAATAATAGTAATAATAATAATAGTAATAATAATATTTGTAATAATAATAATAGTAATAATAATAATAGTAATAATAATAATAAAAATTATATTAAAATTTTCTTTTGAAGAAAATTATTTTACAGTTAAATTAATTTTTAATTTTTAAAATCTGTTATTTCGTATATGATTTTTGATCGTATTAAAATGTTTATTATCAACTGTAGAGATAATTTTTTTCTTTTTAATAATTTGATTTTTATGCGCCTCTGATAAAAAAAAAAATATATTGTAGCGTGTTAAAAAAAAAAAATTTTTTTTTTTACGACAATCCATCGTGAAGCGTGAATATAAAATATAATCTTCCATAATTTTCAAATGAGTTTTTTCTAATGAATTTATACGCGAATTGCAGTAACAACGAGAAAATGTAATACCTCTTTATACACACGAAATGGGTAGGTTATGAAAATATTGAATTTCACGTGAAAAATATTTTTCGGTTAAAATGAGATGCAAAAAAAAAGAAAAAAAAAATTACTAGTATTAAATTTTGATATTATACATTTGTTTGCAATCAAATATTTTAATTATAAAATTATAAAATAAAATTTTTCATTTATTTTTGAAATATCAAAAAATTCTTAAAAATTTTTCCCCCAAAAAATTAAGATAGGAAAAATATTGTAAATTTTAAGACACACAAAAAATCCCTTTTTGAGAAATTAATATTAAACTAGTGCGGGTGAGATAAAAGGTTCCTGATAGAGCTTTGATGTACTCGTTCATGATTTTTCATCTTGATATAGAAAAAGGAAGTGATATCGTTAAGCCTTTAAACTTGACCCATTTTGTGAAGGAAAAAAAAAAAAAAAAAAAGTTTTTTAACATGTAACTTGTGAAATCGATCTTGTGGTGAGGGAATTTTCCTTCCTCTTTTCTTCTTCTTCTTTTTCTTTGTAACATCGTTACTTGCAAAAAAAAAGAGAAGAAAAAAAAAATTGAAGATCAGACAAAGAGCGACCCAGAATGCACTATGGAATTACCGCAGGATCAGGAAAAATCGTATTTTCATGAGATAAAAGTGTATTGTTCTCTTTTGCCCTGCAGAGTACACTTTCCGATCCAATTATACGTCCAGTGTGCTCAGCGAATGTCCATCGGATTTTGTGTACATGTACATATATATATATATATAGAATTATATATATATACATTTATTTACATGAGATACCATGTTATAATGGTCCTGACGTAACGATGTAATGATCCGGTGTTATATTCATTTTACATGTGGTTCAGTTTAAATTTCAAATAAAAATTTCAATAGAAATATTGTAAACACATACTCATTGTCAGGGAAATTTTATTTTTTTCCTTTTTTTTTAGAAATTAAAAAGAGAATTTTCTCTTGCAATGTGTAATTAAGTGCATAAATTATTATTATTATTTTCGTTTCATCTTCTGTTTAAAAAATTTTTTTTTCCTTCTTCTGATAATTTTTTTTTGCTTTAATTTTCATGTTTTGCTTCTTTTTGAAAAATGTTTTTATTTCAAATTAAATGGAAAATTTTATATTTATTATTATCCATTAATATAATTGATATATATTTCTAATTATAAAATAAAAAAGTAATAAATTATAAGGAAAAATTGTAAGGAAAAATTATAAGAAAAAAAAATCTAATTAAAACAGTTGCAATTAGAACTTTTTTTTTTGCTTTTAATTACTCATAATTGATCGATAATAAATGCCAATAAATAAATAATTGTTGATCAATAATAAATAATTACGGTTCGATAATGTAACGGTATAATTGATTATTAATCGATCACAAAAGGGGGGGGGCAAAAAAACACCATTACCTAAGTCATTAAAATTAGCATCTTAATAACGAAAAAGTAATTTGGCCTTTCTTTTTTATTTCAATTTTTTTTTCAAGATACCTTGATTTCTATCCAAAGGAAAAAAAAAATGTTAGTAAAATTGTTTAAATTCGAATTTTAAAAAATTTTAACTAACAAAATGAATAAAAATTAAATTAAAAAAATAATTTTCTATATTTATTATACGAAGGGACGCAACTTTAGAGAAAATAGCGCCTGAGGCGAATATAAAAAAAAAAATATAAAAAGTGATGTAAAAAAAAAATTTACGTATTCTTATAAAACTTGTTTATAAATTTTTTCAAATATGATATAGTGAATGGTTTGTGGACTTTTGAAATCATAGAATTGTATAAGGTCGGTCTTTGTTAATAAATGGTGAAATATTCCTTTCTCTAAAAATGTGTTTTTTTTTCAATCTTTTGATTACAGTTTGTACACAGTTCAATAGAGGCGTTTTTTCAATGTTGGGCGCCGTGAGTCCCGATTCGTTCGACACTTTGCACTCTTATAGTAACACTTTCCAGATGCCATTCGTGACACCATGGTTTCCGGAAAAGGTAAGACATAATTTCTTCTTTAATTAATTAAATTAAATTCCCTACATTTTTTTTAATTATTTTCTATTTATTTTCCCTTTCATTGCTGTGATATCACAACACAATTTTCCCCTTTTAATTATTTTAATTAAATATATATTTTTTCCCGCTTTTTATTTTATAAAATTAAATTCATTAGAGAAAATTTTCATTTAAAAAAATTTTTATTCATAAAAAAAAATTGTTATAACTTTTCTCATGCACACAATTTTACTTAATTTTGCTTCAGGGAAAAAAAAAACGTTAAGAAAACAATTGATATAGAAGAGAATGTATGACAAGGGTTTTCTCTCTTTAATGTTTATAATTGATACAATTTTTAATTAAGGACTATACATGGAAAACTGTTTTAATTAGAAAAAGCGTACAAAAGCTTTTTATTTCAAGTGTTTCATTTTTTGTAATTCAATGTCATAAAAAAAAAAAAAAAAAAAAAAACAATCCAATACAAAGTGATTGAAAATATTTCGTTCAATAACGTTTCAAATTAATCTATTTCTTTTACCGATAAAAAATTTCTATTACCTCTTAATATTTCTCTTTTATTTATTTATTTTCCCTTATCATTTCTATTTTACCTTTAAATTTTAATTTATATTCAAAAAAATTTAATTAAAAATATTTTTTTGTTTTGATCATGAGAAATTAAAAAAAAAAAATTCTGAAATTTTTCGCTTTTATCGTGGAAAAATAAATGCATAACAAAAAGTACACTCCACGTGATATGTAATTGCTGGATAATTTTAATTAATTGTATTCTTGCATTAATGAGTTGAGAGTTAGTTATATAGATATATATATATTACGTGTAGCGGTAGAATGTTGCAACAACAGGTTTTTTTTTTTTTTTCTCTTCAACATTTTTCTGACGATGCGGTTCAATAATTATTAGAATGCAACGTTATTTTATTGACTTTGAAAAATAATTTACTACACTTTGTCTAATTAACTAAGAAATTATTTTAAACATCTATTTCCGAGAGGAGAAAAACGTTATGTGACCTTTAGGAATATATTAAACGTCCATCATAATATAATTATTAATTAAAAAATTGATCCAAGGTCACTTAATTTTTTTTTTTGATCATAAAAAAAACAATTTTTATATAAAAAAAATATTTAAAAATTAAAATCAAAATTTCGGTAAATAAAATTTAAAAAAAATTATTTTATATTTATTTTTGTAAATTGAGGTATAAAAAAAAAATTTGATTCACTTAAATGTATTTTTTTTACGGTAAAGCGGAAGAGACAGATTTGTGAGGTAGGAAAAAATTTTAAGAGGCATTTTTTCCCCGCTTTTTTTTCTGGCAGTTAGTACTCGACTGTAATTATTATTACGGTTCGTCGTTATTTATTGCTTGGCATATACCATGGCAGTAAAAATCATCGTCAAGTGTCGTAAATTCCAAAGTGCGAAGGATAAGAATTATAAAGAAGACTATTTTCTTTTTTTTTTGTTTTTGTTTACTATAATATTTGATTTCAATGAATGTAACATAAATGTTTTAATTAAAATTCCTAATAATGTAAAAACAAATTTTTTTATTTTTTGCAAAAAAAAAAATGACTAACAATGTAATCAATAGATTTTATGATAAACATATTAATTAATATATTTTCCAGGTATTAACGCCATCGTCAGGCGTTAATGATTTTGCAATAAGTATGCGACCGGATTATCATCGAGCCATCATTGACACTGTTCAATACTATAAATGGAAAAAAATTGTCTACCTCTATGATTCTCATGACGGTAAGTTTCTATTTTTTTTTGTGTAAACTATTAACTTTTTTTTACACAAAAAATTTTATATAAAAAAAATCAACACAGGTTTGCGTCTTTTTGTATTTTTATTTTTTAGTCCTATTCTCCTGTGACCCAACATCCTTTAGCCAATATAATATATATATATATATAGGAAATAGTAGAATCGGTATGCATTTCAAGAAGGGCGGCGTGAGTATATGTGACTTTTAAGCAAACTCAAGGGAGTCAACTTCGAACGTTTACTACAGTTTCCACACATGCAGTTATACGATCAACTATATCTAGAAACGAGTGGCTCTTTTACCTCGAATCCATATATATATTATAACCCTCCTAACACACTATATATGAAATATATAGACAGACACAACATTTTTATATATACCCGTAGAATTACATTTTGTCATAAATCGTCATTTAAAGTCTTATATTTATGTACATGAATTGGTATATCCGTTTTGCAATAAAAAGACAAAATATTTCTCCCCCCACTTCCTTTTTTTTAAAAAATATTTTCTTGCAATATAAATAGTGCCTTGCAATTTAAACTGAAATATGTTTGTAACTTACTAGTTTACAAGAATCTTTATTGGAAGAAATAAAACAGAGAGAGAAGCGATAAAGTCAACAAAATAAGCTTACTAAAAATTCATATGATCAAGTTCCACCAACATAGAAGAGGGATTTATATGAGCAACGCCCTTTATGGGAGGACATTTTATATGCCACTGCGATTTATAGGAGTAATTTTATAATTCACGCCCATTTAAGGAAAGAATGTGTTTATATAACACGCCCATTTTTTAAGAGACTACTTTTTTTGTAGCTATATTCATTTATACAGGAGGATATTTTTATTAGACACGCCCTTTTGTAGGAGGTGTTTAAATAAGACACACCCAAAATTATTCACGAGACACGCTTATTTGTAGAAGAATCCTTAACAAGATGCACATTTTTTGGGCGGATCTTAATAAAACACTACCCTTCATGGGAGGGGTATTCATAAGACACGCCTCTTTTTAGGATGATCTTAATAAGACACGCCTATTTTAGGGAGGATCCTAATAAGTCACGCCTCTTTATGGGAGGGTCATTCATAAACCACGCCTATTTCTGGGAGGATCCTAATAAGTCACGCCTTGTTATGGGAGGGTCATTCATAAACCACGCCTATTTGTGGGAAGATCCTAATAAGTCGCGCCTCTTTGTAGGAGGGTAATTTATAAGCCACGCCTATTTGTGGGAGGATCCTAATAAGACACGCCTCTTTGTGGGAGTATCCTAATAAGACACGCCTCTTTGTGGGAGAATCTTAATAAGACACAACCCCTCATGGGAGGGTTCTTTATAAGTCACACCTATTTGTGGGAGGATCATGTACAATATACGCCTTTTTGGGGCGGAGCTTAATAAAACACGCCTCTTTGTGGGAGGTTTGTAAATGAGGATTATTTTAAGACACATTTCTTTCTAGATCTTTTTCATAGAATACAGAGCATCTTTCTATAAGACTTTTTAATATATTAAAAAATAACAATAAAAATTAATTATCCTTTTAGTAGCAGAATTATTAAAATAGATAATTAAAGAGCATTTATTCTATGTAAAATTTAAAAAAAAATCAATTTCTTTCCGATGAAATTGGAAGCGACTCTATATATAAAGGATACAATTACCGTTTGCATAAATAAAACATTGGCATTAAGGAATAATCACTTGCTCTCGGTGCTAGAATTTCGTTATGCGAAAATTCATCGACAACGAGATATCGGAAACTATATATCCCTTAATAAATTGGAGTATCGATACTTGATAGCAGTCATTATCAAAGTTTTGCGATAGTTGAGTGGAGATTATCTCTTATTGTTTTGAATAATCTCCCTCCCCCTCCCCCCCTCCTGTATGTGTCCTGGGGATTATTGTTCGTGCATACGTAAAATGTTTAAAAAAAAATGTGTTCGCACCGCAATGGTGTGATAAGTTTTCACCGCGAATAATGGGAATTAATTTGAAAATATGGGAATTTTTTTTTTGGCTTTTGGGTATGATATGAAAACCTGAAAAGCGTAACTACTAGTTTTGCATGTTGTTGTATTCTCTATCTCGAAATATATAATAATAATGGTATAATAATGACGATCTTTTAACTCTTAGAGAATAGAAAGTAAACATTTGTACGAGAAAATACGAGTGTACGCCATTAATATGAATTAAAGAGGACACCCGAGTCCCGTGTTAGCGGCTAATAGAATAACTCTGTGGATTCCCTTGCGGTTCTCTGGCCCTATGTTTTCTACTTCGTATATAATGTCTTTTGCGGAAAGCCCGAAAGGACAAACCTGTATAGCTGTAAATTGTAAAGTTGACCTTGGGCCATGTACGAACGTTACTGTAAATCTCAATAAATTCACTATCTCTCTTTCTCTCTCTCCCTCTGTCTACATTTTATGAATTAAATTAAAGCACTTGTTCGTTTCGAAGAACAAAGACTCATTTCTTTTTTTTTTCTATTTCATTTTTTGTTGTTGTTTAATTTCCCTCACTGACAAAGGCTTTTTCAAGTCAAGGGATAAAGTTTAATAAAAAATTTTTTCTAACAAAAAAATTTCATATATATATATATATGAAAAAAACAAACAAAAAAATGGCATATTTTTTGAAATTAAATAAAAATTATTTTAACATTAATTTGAAATACAAGAAATTTAATTTATTAAAGTCATTAAAAGTAATAAATTATAAAGCATAGATAAATAATGATTCATTAATTAAGTTTATATCGTAAAGTACAACATAATAGAATTATTATTATTATTATTATTATCATTATTTTTTTTCATATAATTTTAATGTCAGTTGGAAAATACTTGCCAATTTTTAATGGTTGTTAAACACATTAACGAGAGGGAATAAAACTTTTATAAACCTGTTAACAATTTTATGATTTTTTTATTTATTGTTTTGATACTCATATATATATACTTTATTTCTTTATACTCATATTTTATTTTTATAATAATATTTTTAAGTAATTGCATTATTTTTCAACAAGATTACCAATGAAATATAATCAATTTCTGTTGACTAATAAGAGATTTTTAGAAGACGTGATGTGCAATTATATGATTAAATACTTAATAAAATATAAGCAAATTGAAGTTTCAGAAAAAAAGATATATATACATATAAAGAACTGCTTTGAGGCGACCTAAGTTTGAACGATTTCAACTTTAAAAGCAGAGTAGTTACTTTTAACTTTTACAACACCAGCAAAAGTTTAAGCACTTTTGAAGAAGCAAACAGTCAAAGTCGAAGCCTCGATTTCGATACTTTTAGATTGAAACGATACTTGGCTTTTATACCAGTTAAAGCTTTACAAATAGGAGGAATCTGCTTTTAAAGATAATTACTATATGATACTTGAAATCGAATTTCTTTTTTTTCTATTTTATTACTTCAAATGTAAAACCACGTTAATAATAATAAATCAAAATTATTTTTTTAATCCGGGAATTAGAAAAGAATAATTATTTTGTAAGCCACGCACATTTAGCTCTTTATGGACAAGATTTAATTAGACACGCCTTTTTCTGGGATGGTCATTTTTTAGAACACACGCCTTTTGTGGGTGGATATATTAATAAGACACGCCTCATTGTGGAAGGATATTAATAATGCACGCCTATTTGTGGGAGGATCTTAATAAGACACGTCTCTTTGTGGGAGGCTATTAATAAGACACACCTCTTTGTGGGAGGATCTTAATAAGACACGCCTCTTTGTGGGAGGGTTATTCATAAGTCACGCCTATTTGTAGAGGATCCAATAAGACACGCCTCTTTGTGGGAGGGTTATTCATAAGTCACGCCTTTTTGTGGGCAATATTTAATCGGGCACGCCTTTTGTGGGTGGATATTAATAAGACACGCCTCTTTGTAGGAGGATAATTTATAGGATACGCCTTTCGTGGGTGGATCTAAATAAGACACGCCTCTGTATAGGAGGATCACTTACAAGAAACGCCTCTCTGGTCAGGATTTAAAAAAAGATACACCCCTTTATGGGATGGCCAAACTAAAAACACGCCTTTGGGGGTGGATCTTGATAAGACACGCCTCTTTTGTAGGCAGTGTTTTATGGGACACAAAAAATAGTATTCGTAAGCATGTATTTTAAAAAAAATAACAATAATATTTGAATAAAACATTAATTTATCTCCATTGGGATAGGATTAATTAATTTTTTTTCCAATTTGCCATTTGTTTCGCGAATAATATCAGAAAGGGATTCCATGGAGCGACATCAAGAACAACAGAAAGTACGTGGACGCGTGTTTGCATAATGAATACGGTAGAGTTTTGTTGTTCAGAGAATAGTAACCATAGTACAGAAAGAGAGAGAGAGAGGGAGAGCGAGAGAACTGAGATCGTCTTGTCAAACACGCTTCTTCGACAATGTTTGCAAGTTGAAATGGTCAAACGTACGTTTCTCCTATAGTCGCACAAACTCCGATAAGACAAGCCGCTGGAACCTCGGAATTGGTAAGGAGTTTAATTACCGAATGCAAATGCAAATATACTTTAGGGACTCCCTGTGCGCTATCTAGAGGTACATTCCACCTTCTCTTTCTCTATCGCTCTCTCTCTCTCTGTCTCTGTCTCTCTGCCAGGAACATTTGACTATAAATGTGAGACGGCGCCAACTTCAACAAGGGCATACTCTCTTTCTCTGTCATTTGCCGTATACTTTAATTAATTGCTCTTGTTATAAACGCAAAGTCCAACTTCATCAACCTGATTATTATCGTTTATCGAATAAAAAAATTTCGCTCTATTTATTATTAGGAACTTGATAATGTTTGCCGCATATAGCATATACATGGATCCTCGAAATGATCAAGTTAATTAAGACTTTGTTGGTAAATTGTTCGTAAACCACAATTTCATATCAAACGCAAAACAATTATTGTTTTGGTTAATAATAATTAGTATTATTATTAATATTTATTATTATTTTATAAATTAAGTAAAAATAATAATTTGAAAAAAAATAATATTGAAAAAAAAGAAAATGTTTTACAATATTTTTCTGGATTCAATTTTAAAGATAGGAATTTAAAATCTCCGGTGTTTCCCCCCTTTTTTTAAAAAAACATTTATAGTGTAGAATTTCTTGTGATACGCATAAAAACTACGTCACACAGACCAGGAAAACATGGGAAAGAAAGAAAGGTGAAGGACCTGCGTTCGAGTCGAAGGACACAACAACCATGATCATGAATTCAATGAGAGTCACGTAAAATTCATTTGCAGTTTAATTATAATTTCCTATTAAATTAAAACCGCTTTTTGCAAAAAAAATTTAAAAAAAAAACTAAATACGCAAATTTTTTCTTTTTGATACACGAAAAATAATATTAATAATAAATATATAAAAAAAAAATTATATAAATAATACGGTTTTTAAAACATGCTTTTATTTGGAAAGAATTATTTTTTTTTTGTATTAATTTATAATTAATTTGAAAACAATTAACTTTTTTTAATTAATTAATTTACGTTTTGTTTGCGTAAAATATCGATGTATTTTTTTCTTTTATTCTTCACATTACTGTTTTGTTTTTTGTCAAATAATTTACGTTTTTGTGAAAGCATTTTTAATAATGAAAATGCTTTTTATTTCCTACTTTTTGTTAAATTGAATTCCATTACAAAAATATTTCACGCACTATACGTATATATAAAAATATTCGGAGGAAGTGAGAATGAAATTTTAATTATTTTGTGAAATAAATTTCGTTTTTTCTTTTATATAAAATGGAAGTATAATAATTATTTATATAATAATTATAATTTTTTTTTTGATAACCAATTTTGAATCTAGTTAAAATTTTAGCGTCCCCCAGAGATTTAGCGCCTGGAGGGACTATATCTATAGCCGGTCCTGATATAAATGTAAATTATATTATATAAAATATACAAAATAATATTATTTTAATAAAATAAAAATCAAATTTTTTTAATAAAATATAAACGTTTAGGATAAAAAAAAAATTTTTTTGGTAGAAAAAGGAAATGAATAATAAAATCATTGATCTTTTTTTATAAAAAGGTATTCCCTGAGTAAGTGCGTCATATTCATGGAGGGAAAAGAAGAGAAAAAAAAGAAGAGAAAAACAAAAGTTGAAAATCTCATGTTTGTTCCTTGGATGTATATATAGAGAGAGAGAGGATACATTTACATTCGATCTTTTATGAATCGCGCTATATAGTAAAATGGAAAGGGAAGGTTGGCAGAGTGGAGGATATCGCCAGGAAGAAGAATAAAATACTCTGATGTCTGTACATGATTTCGCATACCGATTTCATCATCATATCTCTGCAATTATAATCATATATATATATATCTAATTTTTGTTTCCCTAGTGCGCAAAATAATTTTTAAATTGCATTTTTTTGGTTGCAAAAAAAAGAATATAATAACATTTTTTTTTTCAAAGTTCTCGAAACAGTATTTCCGGTAAAATAAGATTTATGAACGTCGACGAAATAACTCGCGCCAGTTTGTTCCTATTCATCATCGACTACTATTGTGTGTGTGTGTCTGTCTGTGTTACTCTCTTTCACTCACTTCATTTCTTTTTCTCTCTCTCTCTCTCTCTCTTTCTCTCTCACAGTTGAGGGAGAAAAAAAAAACTACTCTGTGCGCGTAACAATAAGAATCATACAATCAAGATTTCTTATAACTATTGAAACAATAAAAATTACACGAATTTCATTTGTGACAAAAAAAAATGACCAACTGCAACTACAAAAAGTCGTTACAATCGAGCACGTTTAGTGTCACATAATGGATTATTTTCTTCAAGTATATTTTTTTTTTTTTCGTAAAAATTTTCACAATTAACAGGTACGGTAGTTTCTATTTGTAACGCGTTCTGAAGAAAGGGACCTTAGAGGCAAAAAAAAAATTATAGGTTATGTTTTAAAATTTCCAAGTGGAAATACAATCAAAATACTAATTATTTATTTATTTAATATAATAGTAAATTTATATTTAAGTCTTATGAAAATAACAACTGATTTTTATTTTCAATAAAAAACTTTAAATGTAAAATTATCGTAAACATAACCTATAATTCGTTTGTTTCTAAGGTCCCTTTCTTCAGAGGGAGTCACATATAATTTATTTGTAAATTTTTCATACAAAAAATTATCTTAAAAAATTTATTATTTGAATAATAATAAAAATAATAATAATAATAATTATTATTATTATAATAATTATTATTATAATTATTATTATTATTAAAATTATTATTATTATAATTATTATTATTATTAGTCAGGACCAAATTAACAGGGGTTTACTGTATTCAAACTGATATTAAATAATTAATTTTGTAATCTTTTTTCAAAAATTTAATTTAAAAAAAAATTTGTTTAAATTATCTTTTCCTCAATTATATACTTTATTTTTCCCTAGTATTATTAACTTTATTTTAATGATAAACTGTCTGTGTATATATATAATTTTTAAAATCATTATCTAACACAACCTGAAGATGAACGACTGTAAAATATTACTCCCACTACACCTTTCTCCTTGAACAATTTTAAATCTCAATTATATTATTGCTAGGAAACAGTCAATTTAAGCAGTGATTATATAAACTCTTTGATCAGAGTAAGTGACTTATTACCACAGTGAGACTCGATTCTTTTCACATTGTGCGTTCTTGGATAAAACATTTATTCACGCAAGTAAATCGCAGAATCTAAAAAAGTTGATTACAAAATGGGAAAAAAAAATTGTTTTTCAATTGGAAAACAATTTTTTGTCTAAAATTTAGAAAAATTAGTACAGAAAACAAAAAAATATTTCTTTTGTTTTCATAATGTTGGGAAAAAAAATATTTTGTGGCCCCGATCTCTAACAAAAAAAAAAAAACTATTTTCTTTGTTCCTCTTTTTTTAATAAACAAAATATTTGTTTTTGAAAAAAATGATTCGAGCGAAATGGGATATTATGATTTATTCAAGAGAATACAAATATTGAAGTTAGCAATGCTATTTGTAACAATTGTGCAAGTCTATGTGATTATATATACATATATATACACATAACAAAAGCAAGCATTTCGCGGTCTATATGGACAATCATTAAAAAAAACCGACAATCGTTTTTATTTTGTCAAAACATTGATTTTATTTTTCGATAACAAAATGTCACTAATAATAAAAAAAAAACCATGGGAACAGTAGGGACAAAAGAAAAGGATCATTATCATTCACGCTGCAACCGGGGAATAATAATTTTTTATTGCATCAAAATTATTATTATTATTTTTCACCAACGATAATAACTACAATAATTGGTAATACAGTAAAAATTATTAGTCATTTACTCATTTTAGAATTTTAAAGCATTTTTGAATTGTAAATTTCGAAATCAATAAAAATTCAATTTCTTTGAAATTAATTTTTTAAATAAATTAATTAATTAATTCAATTAATTAATTAATTTTTAAATAAATTTTTTTTTTAATTTCTGAATTTATAATTAAATGTTTTACTTAATTTTAACGCCCTCCTTTAAAGCCGGCCCTGCGCTTATAAAACTTGTTTCAATATTTGAAAATAGTGAATAATAAAAATATCGGTTATCGGTAAAAGTGTGTTCAACTTTCAGGGCTGGATTAAGAGCAAAAGTTACCCTGAGACGAATTTTTTTTTTTTTTTTTTGACAAAATTATTCAACAGAAAATGTAATTCTTGGGTAAAGCTCTTGTCAATTGAGACACAGAGAATTATAATAATTCAAGTATAGGTGAGGATTACACAGGATCATTGACTAATTTCTGTTATGAATTAGACCTATTAGTGTAGATCCATACCTAATTTAATTAGTTCACTGATCAATTAGCCCTTAATTATATTATTCACCCTAATCGCGAAAATCGAATTCATCTTCATAAATTTGCAGTTTATTAATTTCCGCACTGACAAGAATATTATTCTTTTCATAAATCGATTAACTTTTATAATAAAAACAAAACCTCTTTGTTTTTTTATTACAAAGCAATTTTCAAAGTGGATAATTTTACAATTATCATATATAATTTAAAAATTATTGTACTACGATTAAAAAAATTATAATCGAAAAATTATAAATTGGAAAATACTCGTTTTGCAGAAAAAAAAAATTATTTCATCCTTATAGCGATTAAATGACATAATTATTGGTTTATAATTTTTATTTTACAAAAATTATCCTCTTTTGTGATAAATATTTTTTTTATTACAAAAATTTTTTTATTTGAAAAATATATTGTTAAAAAAAACTGTAAGATTATCGTATTTCAAAAAAAAAAAACACGATCGGGTTTAAAATTATTAAATCTATCTCAAGGTTTTTTTTTGCCATCGATAAAAATCATGAGTTTGACATATTTATGAAACAAATTTTGCATAGAAAAATATTTATAAAATATTGGATATTATTGATTTTTATTTTTTTTTTATAGAAATTTTAGTAATAATTAATTAAATTTAAAAAATGCTTAATTCTTAAAAATAATTTATAGAAATTTTAGTAATAATTAATTAAATAAAAAATTGCTTAATTATTAAAAATAATTTATAGAAATTTTAGTAATAATTAATTAAATATAAAAATTGCTTAATTATTAAAAATAATTTTTAACATTTGCAATTTAGTTATAATTTAATTTATTTTCAGTATTTGCATTTTAGTTATAGTCAAAAAAAAAATTATTTTTATTTACAGTTTAGTTATAATTTACTATAAAATAATTTTTAACATTTGCATTTTAGTTATAGAAACTACGTTACCTATTTTAGGGGGGGAAAAAAGGGGGTTTAAAAAAATAAAAAATTGGTAACGTATTTTATGGACGGCCCCTTATAGTTAAAAAAAATAGTATATTATGTGGCAAGCACGTAAAGTAGTACTTTTTAGGTACCAAGTCGAACTGCCTTAAAAAGTGCTACTTTATCTGCCCAAAACAGGCACAAAAAAGATACTTTTTCATGTCAATGGCGAAAAAAAATTATTTTTATTTCCATTTTAGTTGTAATTTATTATTTAATTATTTTCTCATTTTCACTTTTTTTTATTATTTTCACATCCCGTGAATTATTATATAATTTTTTTTTTTTAAGAATTAATATGCTTCTATATAATTATATTAAAATTAAAATAATTAGTTTTTATTATAATGACTTTTGTATAGAGTTAAAATTTTTCACAATTAATCCAAAAAAGGGAGAATAAAGTGATAATGAAAATGAGCAGATTTGCCATATATATAAACAAAACGAGAAATGAGGGATTAAATTTGCATTGGTTTTTGTGTGTATATATATATATATGATATATAATTATTGTCATGAGGTAACAGAGATGTCATGAACATGCGTAAATCCATGGGTATTGCTCTGAGATTACACACATACACACACACATGCATATAATTCAGTATACGTCACCGCGTGAGTTCAAGTTGATTCGCACACTAACTATCCGTATAGATAGCTGTCCCTATTATGTACTTGTTCATCAACAAGGAGATATGTCAGCGGAAATCTGGTCAGTATCTAGTTGGCTTTGACAGCTCGCACGTTTTTATTTTCCCTTTGACAGTTTTATTGAATCAAAATTTACACCTGATTTTAATTTTTTTTTTAAATATGTATTAAAAATAGAAAATTTTATCAAAAATAATTTCAATTTTTGTATTTTGTGTTACGGTTTGTATTAAATTTTTCTAATTACAAATAGAAAAATAAAATAATAGAAAAACCTAGTTTAAAATTTTGGTTTACTATTTAAAGAAATTTTTTTTAATGGAAAATTTACCTATAATTATTTTTTCAATAATAATGGATTCCCTGACTTTTTCCTGCAATGTTGATACAAAGTAATTTTTATATTCCGGACATTTTTTTTCCTTTCTGTTTTTATAAAAGAGATTTAAAATTTTTTAGGGGATACGGATCATAAAAATCACCTAGTATATAATATTCATAAAATCAGTGTAATTAAACAGTTTCTCTTTTCTCATTGTTCCACATAAGTGGAAGATACGAATTTATATTTCTATATTATAATTTTCATTTCTTATTACATTAATATTTTTTAATAATATCCTTGTAGACAAATATGGATGGCAATATAATACGAACCTCGAATCACTATACAATATGTAAAGGTGTAATTATTTCTCTAAATGGGGAAATATTTTTCCATCAACAAATAATAATTCTTTTTTTTTAAATTGTTAAAAATAACTTCAGACCACAAAAAAGAAACAGAAAATTTTGAAATTAACAAAAAAAAGAATTAATGCCGAGGAAATTGGTATTAATTTTCTGTCTTATTTTCAAACGAATTTTTTTGGCAAAAAAAAAAAAAAAAAAAAAACTATATTTACGAGACTCATGAATTTTAAAAGCTTCAATCCCATAAAAAATAGAATGTATTTATATCTCCAGTGATCTGTAAAAGTGATCTGCATACAAGTACAGAACGTAAATTTTCAGATTGGAATTTAAAAATACTGCCTTGATCAGGAGATGACACGGGGAACCTTCCACGTTATACATACTTCCATTAACCTTTATCGAGCTTAGTTGAATTTATCTGCCCTAGCTTGGCAAAATGGACTACGCCTTTTTACGACAAGTTCTAGTTGGACTTGTGTGTAAGTATTTTCCATCAAAAAAAAAAAACTTGAAGCAATCTAAATTCCTCTTTCTCTCACTCTTAAGTTATATTCGAATTTAAAATCCGTAATTAATTTTTCTATTTCACTAACAATTATATCTAAGGAAACATCGACAGAATTTTTAGTAGCCAAGTAGTTAGGTAGAATTTTTGTTAAGACAAAATTTTCATCTAACAGAAAAACAGAATTTGACTGTATTGGATTCATTTGTTAGATGAAAATTTTGTCCCACAAAAATTCTGCCAAAGATTGCAATTTTTTTTTGGGGGGTAAAAGTAAAAATATTTCCAGGCAACCTTCTCATAATGGACAGTGGTTTTCACGAAGGTTGGAGTACACCTCTATTACCAAAATTAAAAGAAGATAAATCATTATCAATCGAAGATCATGAAACTGGATGGATTATTAATTTTCTCTATTTGGGTGTTGGTCTTGGTTCATTGTTACCATTTCTTTTAATGGACACAATAGGCAGAAAGGGAACACTATTGGCTGCATCAATACCAAAAGTTTGTAGTTGGATACTTTTGGGTTTAGCGACAAATGTCACGACAATTTATATTGGACGAATGTTAGCTGGTATTGGTTGTGGTGTAACTTATTCAGTGGCACCAATTTATTTAGGTGAAATCACCAGTAAACAAACAAGAGGACTATTAAGTACTCTAATGGCAGTTTTAATAAATATTGGAATGCTCATTATTTATGCATTAGGTCTTAATTTCTCACGATTCACATCGTCAATGATTGCTATTTCAGTGCCAATAATATTTCTTCTATGTTTTATTTGGCTACCAGAGACAGCTGTTTATTTAACGCGTAAAAATCGTCTCACAAGTGCTGAAAGAACACTTCAATGGGCATTGAATCGTAAAAATGTTGATGAAGAATTAGAGGAAATTAAAAGAATTGTTTCAAGTGAAAGTGATGGTAATAATAGTTTTCTTGAATCACTTAAAGATGTTTATAGAAAAAATGAATGTCGACGTGCATTTGGAATTGTGATTATTCTTTTGAGTGCATTAACATTAAGTGGTGCTGCACCAATTTTAGCTTATCAATCAGAGACATTTAGTAAAGCTGGTTATGAATTTTCGGTGGATATTATTATTGTTATTTCTGGTTGTACTTTAGTGGCAGCTGGTTGTATTTGTGTGGCAACTGTTAAAATTGCTGGTAAAAGATTATTACTATTAATATCGGCACCAATTGCAGCAATATCATTGGCAACGGTAGCAATTTTTTTTACATTAGAAATAAAGGGATTCGATGTTTCTCATATTAAATGGATACCAATTGTTGGTGTTGTGGTTTATGTTATATCTTATGGACTTGCATTAAATCCGATACCCATCGCTTATATTGGAGAAATATTTCCTAATGATGTCAAAGTTCCTGCTGCTATTTTCTGTGCATTATACTACGCGGCTGCCTCGGTTATTGTAGTTGAATTTTATCAGGTAATTTTTTTTTTTTTTTAATATAATTTTTTCCAAGAGAATTATTAATTTTTCTGTGAATTTATAATTTTTCAAAACATATTCTAGATAATAGAGAAGTCATACGGAACGTACTTGGCCTTCTGGAGTTTTTCTGTGATAACTTTGCTGGTGACGTACCTCATTTACTTGTACGTACCTGAAACTGAAGGGAAGAGCTTGGAAGAAATTCAAACAGAGTTAAAAGGAAAGAAGCAGGCTACTTGCTGGGAAATAACTGATTTAAAAGTCCGCTCATGAGTTATTACTTTCTGTGCGCTCTCGGTGAAAAATTTTTCCTCCCAAGGCAAAAGAGAGAAGATACTCTTTAATTATACGTGAAAATCGAACTTGACTTGGTAGAAGATGAAGAAAAAAAAAAAGAATAATTAAAAGTCAACTACGATGACACTTAGATCGAGTGACATCTAATTATCAACTTTATCAAATGAGGTCACTTCAAGTCAATGACGATGATGATGATGATAATGATGGATTAATTAAAATAATGAAAATTTTCGAGAAATCTTAATTTTACTTTTCACACATTTTTTTTTTTACATATTTATCTTCTTTTAATTTAATTTTATTATAATATATTTTCTAAATTAATTATTGTAAAAAAAAGTATGCTTTGTACAAAAACTCTTTACATTAATCTATATAAATAGTAGCATAACAATAGTATATGTAATAACGTTATCGCAAAGTTATTTCGATAAATACCATTTTGATATTATTATTTCGTTTCAGAATTAATTTCAAAAGCCGAATATATATGTTAACGATAGAAATATTTAAATCTCTCAATTCTTGCGTATCATGTGCTTTTAATTATGACGAGGCAGATTGTGTTAAAATTTCATTTATAACAACTACATCATAAATTAATTATTTAATATACGCTCGAAAGATATATTGAATTTAAACAATATATTTATTCAATTAACATAATTAAAATATATATATTTTTCTACTGTATTATTATTTTGTTATATTATTTGAAAATGCAATTTTTTTTTAAAAAAAACTATAATTAATGTATTATTAAAAAAAATGGAAAAACACCAATAACAAATATTTTTTTGTTTATAAATATATATTTATATATATATTTATATATTTTTATACATATTTATATATTTTTATATATATTTTTATATTTAAATATATATTTATATATTTTTATATTTATATATAACTAAAAAATATATTTTTGTACTCTATTACTATTATATTATTTAAAAATGCAATTTAAAAAAAATATAATTAATATAATATAAAAAATAGAAAAACACAAATAACAAACATTTTTTTGTTAAAATATATATAAAAATATATATATATTCTTTTTTGTTAAAATATATAAAAATATATATATATATTTTTTTTGTTAAAATATATAAAAAAAAATATATATATAAATAATTAAAAATATATTTTTGTACTCTATTACTATTTTATTCGCTGAAAGTGCAATTTTTACAAAAGAATAATATAATTAATAATAAAAAAAATATAAAAACACCAATAATAAATATTTTTTTGTTAAAATATATATATAAAAATATATATATAAATATATATATACATAATTAAAAATATATTTTTGAACTCTATAATTATTTTATTTTTTGAAAATGCAATATTTAAAAAAGAATAATATAATTAATATATTATAAAAAAGGAAAAACACCAATAATAAAAATTTTTTTTGTTAAAGTAATTAAATACTAAAAATAAGAAAAAATGTTGATCAGTACATTTGTTAAAATATATATAAAAATATATATATTCTTTTTTGTTAAAATATATAAAAATATATATATATATTTTTTTTTGTTTAAATATAAAAAAAAATATATATAAATAATTAAAAATATATTTTTGTACTCTATTACTATTTCATTCGTTGAAAGTGCAATTTTTACAAAACAATAATATAATTAATAATATAAAAAATATAAAAACACCAATAATAAATATTTTTTTGTATAAAAAAATATATATAAATATATATTCATAATTAAAAATATATTTTTAAACTCTATAATTATTTTATTCTTTGAAAATGCATTTTTTAAAAAAGAATAATATAATTAATATATTATAAAAAAGGAAAAACACCAATAATAAAATTTTTTTTGTTAAAGAAATTAAATACTAAAAATAAGAAAAAATGTTGATCAGTACATTTGTTAAAATATATATAAAAAAAATATATATATATATTTTTTGTTAAAATATATAAAAAAATATATATATAAATAATTAAAAATATATTTTTGTACTCTATTACTATTTTATTCGTTGAAAATTCAATTTTTAAAAAAGAATAATATAATTAATATATTATAAAAAAGGAAAAACACCAATAATAAAAATTTTTTTTTGTTAAAGAAATTGAATACTAAAAATAAGAAAAAATGTTGATCAGTACAATTGTTAAAGATGTTTGAATTAAAAATAATATTTTTATATTTAATATTAAAAAAAAAAATTAAAATAATTTATTTATTATAATTTTTATTTAAAATAAATATTCGAAAAGAATAAAATAATTTCGCATTTCGAAAAAAAGTAATCGTTTTAGCATTGTTGTACTCATGCAATTGTGAGAAAATAGAGAGAGAGAGAGAGAGATAAAGAGAGAAAGAGGGGGATTTTAACAGCATATTTTAGTTCATTTAGCAGAGATTCAAATAGTGAAACGTAAGCAATCAGGATAGTAGCAGAGAACTACCTTTCTGTTTGTGTCTCTTTAAGCAAGATACTCCTCTACATGGTGATTGCATGCTCAGGCAGGAAGATCTAGATTGATGGACTAGGAGGTGCGCTGTATACATAACAACCACTTAGCCTTGCATCATCCCAATGAGAATATCGTACTCAAGAGACGAACATTCGCCGAGAACGTACTTGAACCGATACCATGTGCAATCTTAGTAATAGAATTCCCCCACTCCACCCTCCCTTACACCCCCTCTTCTCATTCCCATGTGATTGTCATGGAAATGACAAAGACCTTTATTTCCTTCTACATACATATATTCTCTCGCAAGTCACTGGCACATAATTATTTATAATTCCCACATTCTTTATATTACAAAAATTTCATAAATAAAATTAAAAACTATTTTTTCATTTTTAATTATTTACAAATTGATAAAATATTTAAATAAAAAAAAAATTGTCATAAACGTGTTTTTTGTTTTGAAAATAGACCGCGTTTTTACAGATGAAAATAGCATGAAAAGAGAAAAGAATTTGACTTTGTAGATCAAGCTACTGTGATTAAAAATAAAAAAAAAATAAAATAAAAGCACATCGTCGCGCGTGACGCGTGTGTTTTTTTGACACAGTCACGTTCACGTTTTTTTTTGTGTTTCAGTCTCGCGACCTATCTGTTAAAAAATTACGAGCACTGGCTGCATAACGGAGGTAAATTGCATCCAACAGCATTTCAGTCACATTTATAAAAATGGAACGGACTGTCACTGACAGTTCTCTGAAGAGTAAATCTCACACACAACCCTAGGGGTTGTTTTTTTTTTTTGTTTTTATTTTGTAAACTATATCTCTTTTCTTCTCTTTTTATTTTCAACGACGGCAACCCCGCGAGTACGTTATTCCGACATTCGACCGAAATTAACAAATGACTCGAAATGGCCATCATTGACCAATATTTCTCTTTTTATATATCTTCAATATCCTCAATACGAGTATTATTTTGCATAAAAATAGCCATCTCAATGTCAAAATCATATTATTTATTTTTCTCGAAGTATTTTTTTTTATAAATAGAAAAGAGAAAGAGCAATTGATTAAAAATTATAAAAAGAATTTTTTTTATACGAGAAAGATATATAATATTTAAGCCCCAATTTGGAATGAAATTATCAATAAATGTTTAAATGAAAAAAAATGTGGGTTTAGCGAAAAAAAAAAAAATTGTTGAAATGAAAAAGGACATTGAAAGAGAGAATAGAAGGGAACTCTCTATTATATTGTTACAGTACAAATGCAGCTTCTTTTACGACAATTGATTTATTCATGACGATCCTTCGCTCACTCGCTTTTCTATTGCCCATATTCTTACAACAATAAACGTCATGAACATTTTGCTTGCCATTCTCTATGTCGGGATTGCTTCACATATGACCTAGAAATACACGTGACATATTCGAAAACATAATGCGATTGCTATTTCAAAATTTTTTTCGATTAAATGGAAATTATAATTAAAAACACATTAAAATTTTTGAAACATTTTCGGTATTCTTAATTTCTTCCTTATGTGATTATTTTTTTATTATTATTATTATTAGTTATTTTATTATTCTTTATTTTTTGTTTTGCTTTTTTACTATTTATTGAAAGGAGAATTTATTAATTATTAGATATGATTTTGGACAAAGTGTTTAATTATAATTTCCAAATGATCGGAAGTATTTTCAGGAGGAGTTTCCGAAAATTATCCTAGACTACTTCAGAGGCATTCAGAAATGATATCAAGTGCAATGGTATATAATGGCAAAAGTGTATGTGAAGCCATCCCACTAGAAAATTGCAGCTTATTGTAAGCACTTAGATTTAACAACAGTATGAACAGAAATGGAATGACTAAAATTATATCTATATAGCAAATTGATAATAATAATTCTCTCTACTACTAAATTAAAGTTTTCTCCAACTCTTGGAACAAAAAAAAATAAGGAAAAACATCAATAATAAAATTTTTTTTTATCAACAAAATTTTTAATTTCTATTATTTAGATAAATTAATTGATAATTAAATTAAATCTTTTAATTATAAATTAATTAGAAATTAAAAATTAATTTAATTCTAATTTTAGAATATAGATGAAAATTTCTGTTTTATATATTTAATTTTTTTTTGTAGACAATTTTAATAAATTGCAAAAAAAATCTTTTGGGATATGACTGTATATTTACAGTCATAAAAAATGAAGATTACATTTTGGAAATGTGAGATATCGCGTTTGGATATACTTGAATTATTCCATCAAGCTACACGCGTAAGTGAGTTATTGGTAGCAAATTGCTGCTGGTTTAATTTGTTTAACGAGGCCAGTCCAGTATTTTCTCGGTAATTTTAGCTACCTCATAAACATAGTGGACACATTCTATATATATATATATAAATATAATATTAACAGAAAATTATCCATCGAAATATAAGCTCATAAAAAATAAAGATTCAATCAAAAATCTATATGGAAAATAATTTTTCCCATTATTATATTTTATAATTAATTAATTATTTTACATTAATTAATTAAATTTTGCTATTAAAATTAAAAAACCTTTTTTTTAATCAAAAAACGTTATTTGAAAATAATCTCGTATTTTTGGAATTTAAATTAATTTAAAAAAAAAATGAAATAATTTAATAAATCACGTTCACCTTGTTAGGGTTAAAGGATTAATTCTATAGGCTTTAGTACGAAGCTCAAGGGAGATAATCCTCTAATTGTTGACATCTCTCATTCACATCTCTCTGTGTCTATTCTCCCGCATGTCAGTTTCAACATACATTATATTAAACGCGGGTATATATATATATCGTTGAGGCGCTTAGAGTTGATCTGCTCGCGATCTCATTAGTCAACCTATCACATTGCAATCTGAAGATAAGATCACATCTTCGTCTTTATCGACCCCCCACCCACCCCTCACACACACTAAGAAATATAATTTTCAATTATTCATCTAAAATACAAACAAAATTATTATTTTCATAACTAAATGATTATTTAGAAAAATTATTAAATAAAATAATTTAAAATAGTAGATATTTTCTAAAAAGAAATAAAAAAAACTAAAAGTAAACTAAAAATATAAAAATTAATTGTACAAAAAATAAATTTAAAAATAATTTAAAAAATGAGTTTCTTAAAAAAAATTAATAATTAAGCATCAAATATAAATATAGAGAGGGGGAGAGGGGAGGTGATAGAAGTTTCACACTCGTGACGCTGAAGAGCATCAAGTATAAATTACAAATTTGTGCTCAGCTGACCAAAAGGCCGAACACTAATTTCTCCCTCTCGACCCCCCCCCAACTTTACGAGTTACTGAAATAATTGCAAAACACGAACAGCCAAAGCTTCGCCAGTTAAAAATTCAATTAGTGATAAGAGCCGTTAATTATTTCACTCAACACTCACATCGTAATGACACTACATAACGAAATAGATTATCCACAAATATTTCAAATTAAATGTTACATGAGAAATAAAAAAAAAAAAAATTTTTACCTAATATAATTAACTATGGTAGATTTAATTAAATTCTATATTTTTTTCTAAATAATTCAAACAATATTCTAAATGTAAAAAAATATTTACCTAGAACAGCGAAATGTTTCAGTATAGTAGCAAAAAAATTTTACTTCTATCTGTTAAATCTTTTGCTATTCTAGTGAAAACTTTTCTGGTTTTAGATAAATATTCTTTTTCCGTGTAAATAATTAATATAATTTTGAAACAATTAAAGAAAATTAATTTTTTTATATTTATTAAAAAGGATTTTAATTTGAAAAATCAATTAATTTTTGTTTATCTTAATTTTAAAATTAATTTTTTTTATTTGATAATAAAAAAATATTTATTATTAATTATTATTTATTATTATTGTTTTATTTTGATTGATTTTTGAAATTATAATTGGAATAGATTTTGACTTTTGGAAATGCAAAAAAAAAAAAAAAGTGTGGTAAAAGAAAAGTGGTTTCCGCTTTTGAAATTCGTCGACTATTCGCTCGATGCGTATAAGAGTCCTATTCATTCAATTGATTAAACATAAGCCGTTCGAAAACGATTCGACCACCTAACCCCGAGCGGTAACCATTCTCTCCCTTTCTCTCTCTCTCTCTCTCTCTCTCTCTACCGTATTTTCATCCAGCCGGACAACAATGCATGGCGATATGTCACCCGTACCGAAATGTTCTCGACGCGCCATTAATTGAAATTCAAATGGACATAAACACCTCCTCTGTACCAGTTTTGGACTGTCCGTAGCAAAATTCCCAAATTTCTAGTTTTATTCACCCCTCAATAACCCAAACACAAATTCACAATTCCAAGGGAACACACAAATACACAAAAAAAACTTTTTCATCGATCAACAAAATTTTTTATTTTCAACTATTCAACTCTTTTTTAATTGAATTCACGATCCATTAGAAAAAAAAAAAAATATATGTGTGGTTAAACAATTTAATTCATCATAGCATTGATTACATTACAGTGAGATTGATTTTTTTCTCACCTATTTATTAAAGTGATTTTCTATTTTTACGGTGGGAAAAAAGATTTCAAAAATTGTTTTCTATACAGCCAATAAATTAAAAATTATAGTTATTACTGATAATTATTTTTCCAGTACAAGTAAATTTTTCGTTACCATGACAACCGTTACCATACCAATTGTTTTCATGGCAACCGTTACTATGATAACAGTTAGTTACTATGGCATAAGTTACTATGGCAAAAGTTACTATGGTAACAGTAAGTTACTATGGCAGAAGTTACTGAGGTAACAGTTACTATGGCAAAAGTTACTTTGGTAACAGTTAGTTACTATAACAGAAGTTACTTAGGTAACAGTTAGTTACTATGGCAGAAGTTACTAAGATAACAGTTACTATGGCAAATGTTACTATGGTAACAGTTAGTTAATATAACAGAAGTTACTAAGGTAACAGTTAGTTACTATGGCAGAAGTTACTTTGGTAACAGTTAGTTACTATGGCAGAACTTACTAAGGTAACAATTACTATGGCAAATGTTACTATGGTAACAGTTAGTTACTATAACAGAAGTTACTAAGGTAACAGTTAGTTACTATGGCAGAAGTTACTTTGGTAACAGTTAGTTACTATGGCAGAAGTTACTAAGGTAACAGTTACTATGGCAAATGTTACTATAGTAACAGTTAGTTACTATAACAGAAGTTACTAAGGTAACAGTTAGTTACTATGGCAGAAGTTACTTTAGTAACAGTTAGTTACTATGGCAGAAGTTACTAAGGTAACAGTTACTAAGGCAGAAGTTAGTAACTATGACAGAAGTTACTACGGTAACAGAAGTTACTAAGGTAACAGAAGTTACTAAGGTAACAGTTAGTTACTATGGCAGAAGTTACTAAGGTAACAGTTACTAAGGCAGAAGTTAGTTACTATGGCAGAAGTTACTAAGGTAACAGAAGTTACTAAGGTAACAGAAGTTACTAAGGTAACAGTTAGTTACTATGACAGAAGTTACTACGGTAACAGAAGTTACTAAGGTAACAGAAGTTACTAAGGTAACAGTTAGTTACTATGGCAGAAGTTACTAAGGTAACAGTTACTAAGGCAGAAGTTAGTTACTATGGCAGAAGTTACTAAGGTAACAGAAGTTACTAAGGTAACAGAAGTTACTAAGGTAACAGTTAGTTACTATGGCAGAAGTTACTAAGGTAACAGTTACTAAGGCAGAAGTTAGTTACTATGGCAGAAGTTACTAAGGTAACAGAAGTTACTAAGGTAACAGAAGTTACTAAGGTAACAGAAGTTACTAAGGTAACAGTTAGTTACTATGGCAGAAGTTACTAAGGTAACAGTTACTAAGGCAGAAGTTAGTTACTATGGCAGAAGTTACTAAGGTAACAGAAGTTACTAAGGTAACAGAAGTTACTAAGGTAACAGAAGTTACTAAGGTAACAGTTAGTTACTATGGCAGAAGTTACTTTAGTAACAGTTAGTTACTATGGCAGAAGTTACTAAGGTAACAGTTACTAAGGCAGAAGTTAGTTACTATGGCAGAAGTTACTAAGGTAACAGAGGTTACTAAGGTAACAGAAGTTACTAAGGTAACAGTTAGTTACTAAGGTAACAGTTAGTTACTATGGCAGAAGTTACTAAGGTAACAGTTAGTTACTATGGCAACCGTTAACATAGCAACTGTTACCATGACCTTTTCTTCCTTAGCAACAGTTGCTAAGGATTAAGGTAATTTTGTCAGTAGTATAAGTTAATATTTAGTAAGACTGTAAAATTTTATTTTCTATTTTATCAATTGTAATAATTTTATTTTAGTAGTAAAAATATCCTAAACAAAAATTTTGAATAGAATAAGGTTTCTATAGAAAAAAAAATAACAAAACGTTAAAAGAGAGCTTTTTTCTAAAGAGAATGGGACCCTAAATGTTAAGCTTTTGATGTCCTTGGAGAACAAGTTAATTGAAAATTCATGTTCTTTAGAAGTAACCTAATTTCCTTTCAGGATCAATGAATGCAGGGTGTCTTTGACGTGGAGTTAGTTACACGTCGAAAATGCTGTGCATTATATATGATAGGACAGTGTCAGCACAGAGGCCACACTGTTCGATCTTATACATAATTAGGAACATCCTAGAATGCATTTCTATATACATATATATATATATATATATATACATATTATATCTATATATGTATGTAATACGATATGAACAGAATTCGTGAAGCTCAGGTCCATTATATGGAATGGTGAAATGGCTCCAGGGATTTTGCGGAGACAATTTCAAAGTTACAAAAGTTACAACTACTTTGTACATTATTTCTATATATATATAGTGGGACACGTAGAGCAAATATAAAATTCTTAAATCGACAAGTCTCGTTTTCCATCAGTTTCAATTTGTTTTCTTATATAGTTTTGTTGCGCAAAGTAATCAAAATGATTTTTGTTCGATTGACAAGGAATATTCCGTTTGATATTGGTCATCATTTGCGAAAGTTATTTCTACTTTTTTATATGGCAAACTAGAGATATTGAAATCTATAGTCAACGACACAATGGGTAACTATTGATTGGGATTATTTTAGGGCGCCAACGACAAAATTATCCGCAACAAAAATTATACTAATTATTATTTTAAGTTTGTATTCACTTACCCCCATAAAGATGATACAGTATAGCAAGTAATCTTCCATCTGAAACAAAAAAAGAATTATTATTTAAATTAAAGAAATTTAATTTTCAAATTAGAGAAAGAGTGAGGTAATTTTGATTCTATGAGCTTATGATATAATTTCAGTTGATTGATATTTGAAAATATTTTTTTTTTTTTTCGAAAATCGAAGTGACTATACACATAAACATCACGATAGCAAATTGTCATTCATTGTCGGTTTATTTCGTCTAGTCATTCGCGATTCCCATCGTGTGAGTTGTCGTCCATCAAACGAGCTTTAGTCGTGCGGAGTGCTTGGCCATTGTGTTAAATTATTGAGGAGAAAGCTCTCTAAAGCGCCGTTGGTTGAATGGAGATGGGCACAGAAGGAGGAGCAGGAGGACGAGAGGAGAGATGGAAGATGGTATTTCACAGGCGAGCACTTCGATATTCCCAGTATTCTATATAGATATACACAAAACACAATTTTCGAACACACATATAGCCAAACACTAACCACAACCTTAAACCTCAAAATGTCGTGGTTATATGATCACAACACGTTTTCAAAGCATGCCAAAACAATCAATTTACAACCATCCGAATAAACTTATATATTTATTTTTCTGCATCTATATTCTAAAAAATAAATATTCGCAAAGTCAATTTTACTAACATATTAAAATTCACATTTTACAAATGACAAAATTTGTGATTAAATTTTCTATTAAAATTCAATCGTACAAGAAACAAAAAATTAGAAGTGAATAATTTTCAATATAATATCCAAATATCAATAGCAAATTATATCGATTAATTTTATGGAAATACTTTGATACATACATACAGTAGTATTATAAGCGAGAGGATCAAAATTTGAATTCAATATGTAAGAGAAGCTCGAGAAGAGGAAACACAGATGGAAGCAGGAAACAGCGAGATAAAATATCTGGCATAACGCTCTGGATGAAAATGGGTACATACCAAACGTTGCTGTTGCACCTCGTTATACAAATACAGACACATATATACATACATACGAAACAAATACTAAGTACAGTGATTTTCACCAAAACGAGATGCACTTACAGAAATTACAATGATATCAAAAGGGATGTCATTTTCGACAACTCCGGCATTTACGAATAACTAAATACTCAATTCAGTTTTTTTGTTCTAACTTCTATTTTTCACAACAATCATAAAAACAGACAATTCATTTCGTTTCAAAATAACATAACGGTATTTGTTCAAAAATTTTCCTTATTTTATTGGTGGTATTCCGAAACAATTATCTCGCAAATTTAATTTTTCGAAAATTTTTTCCAAATATGTTTTCTAGTGTAGCTCAGCATCCGCTGGACCAATCTAAAAGTACGCCATACATTTTTTGTTCGAAACTTTTTGCTAAAGACTTTGGCGGTATTCCCGAACAATTATCTCGAAAATTTAATTTTTCGAAAATTTTTCATAAATTTATTTGAGTGTAGCTCAGCATCCGCTGGACCAATCAAAAAGTGCGCCATACATTTTTTGTTCAGAACTTTCTTCTAATCACTATGAAGGTATTCCCGAACGATTATCTAGCGAATTTAATTTTTCGAAAATTTTTCCAAAATATTTTTTAGTGTAGCTCAGCATCCGCTGGACCAATCTAAAAGTGCGCCATACATTTTTTGTTCGAGACTCCCGGGTTAAGACTTTGGCGGTATTCCCGACCAATTATCTCGCAAATTTAATTTTTCGCAATTTTTTAAAAAATTTATCTGAGTGTAGCTCAGCATCCGCTGGACCAATCAAAAAGTGCGCCATACATTTTTTGTTCAGAACTTTCTTCTAATCACTATGGCGGTATTCCCGAACAATTATCTCGAAAATTTAATTTTTTGAAAATTTTTCCAAAATATTTTTTAGTGTAGCTCAGCATCCGCTGGACCAATCTAAAAGTGCGCCATACATTTTTTGTTCGAAACTTTTTCCCTATTTTTTTGGCGGTATTCCCGAGACATTATCTCTGAAATTTAATTTTTCGAAAATTTTTCCAAAATATTTTTTAGTGTAGCTCAGCATCCGCTGGACCAATCTAAAAGTGCGCCATACATTTTTTGTTCGAAACTTTTTCCCTATTTTTTTGGCGGTATTCCCGAGACATTATCTCTGAAATTTAATTTTTCGAAAATTTTTCCAAAATATTTTTTAGTGTAGCTCAGCATCCGCTGGACCAATCAAAAAGTGCGCCATACATTTTTTGTTCAGAACTTTCTTCTAATCACTATGGCGGTATTCCCGAACGATTATCTAGCGAATTTAATTTTACGTAAATTTTTCCAAATTTGTTTTCTAGTGTAGCTCAGCATCCGCTGGACCAATCAAAAAGTGCGCCATACATTTTTTGTTCGCTACTTTTTGCTAAAGACTTTGGCGATATTCCCGAACAATTATCTCGAAAATTTAATTTTTTGAAAATTTTTCCAAATTATTTTTGAGTGTAGCTCAGCATCCGCTGGACCAATCAAAAAGTGCGCCATACATTTTTTGTTCGAGACTCCCGGGTTAAGACTTTGGCGGTATTCCCGACCAATTATCTCGCAAATTTAATTTTTCGCAATTTTTTAAAAAATTTATCTGAGTGTAGCTCAGCATCCGCTGGACCAATCAAAAAGTGCGCCATACATTTTTTGTTCAGAACTTTCTTCTAATCACTATGGCGGTATTCCCGAACAATTATCTCGAAAATTTAATTTTTTGAAAATTTTTCCAAAATATGTTTTAGTGTAGCTCAGCATCCGCTGGACCAATCTAAAAGTACGCCATACATTTTTTGTTCGCTACTTTTTGCTAAAGACTTTGGCGGTATTCCCGAACAATTATCTCGAAAATTTAATTTTTCGAAAATTTTTCATAAATTTATTTGAGTGTAGCTCAGCATCCGCTGGACCAATCAAAAAGTGCGCCATACATTTTTTGTTCAGAACTTTCTTCTAATCACTATGAAGGTATTCCCGAACGATTATCTAGCGAATTTAATTTTTCGAAAATTTTTCCAAAATATTTTTTAGTGTAGCTCAGTATCCGCTGGACCAATCTAAAAGTGCGCCATACATTTTTTGTTCGAGACTCCCGGGTTAAGACTTTGGCGGTATTCCCGACCAATTATCTCGCAAATTTAATTTTTCGCAATTTTTTAAAAAATTTATCTGAGTGTAGCTCAGCATCCGCTGGACCAATCAAAAAGTGCGCCATACATTTTTTGTTCAGAACTTTCTTGTAATCACTATGGCGGTATTCCCGAACAATTATCTCGAAAATTTAATTTTTTGAAAATTTTTCCAAAATATTTTTTAGTGTAGCTCAGCATCCGCTGGACCAATCAAAAAGTGCGCCATACATTTTTTGTTCAGAACTTTCTTCTAATCACTATGGCGGTATTCCCGAACAATTATCTCGAAAATTTAATTTTTTGAAAATTTTTCCAAAATATTTTTTAGTGTAGCTCAGCATCCGCTGGACCAATCAAAAAGTGCGCCATACATTTTTTGTTCAGAACTTTCTTCTAATCACTATGGCGGTATTCCCGAACGATTATCTAGCGAATTTAATTTTACGTAAATTTTTCCAAATTTGTTTTCTAGTGTAGCTCAGCATCCGCTGGACCAATCAAAAAGTGCGCCATACATTTTTTGTTCGAGACTCCCGGGTTAAGACTTTGGCGGTATTCCCGACCAATTATCTCGCAAATTTAATTTTTCGCAATTTTTTAAAAAATTTATCTGAGTGTAGCTCAGCATCCGCTGGACCAATCAAAAAGTGCGCCATACATTTTTTGTTCAGAACTTTCTTCTAATCACTATGGCGGTATTCCCGAACAATTATCTCGAAAATTTAATTTTTTGAAAATTTTTCCAAAATATTTTTTAGTGTAGCTCAGCATCCGCTGGACCAATCAAAAAGTGCGCCATACATTTTTTGTTCAGAACTTTCTTCTAATCACTATGGCGGTATTCCCGAACAATTATATCGAAAATTTAATTTTTTGAAAATTTTTCCAAAATATTTTTTAGTGTAGCTCAGCATCCGCTGGACCAATCTAAAAGTGCGCCATACATTTTTTGTTCGAAACTTTTTCCCTATTTTTTTGGCGGTATTCCCGAGACATTATCTCTGAAATTTAATTTTTCGAAAATTTTTCCAAAATATTTTTTAGTGTAGCTCAGCATCCGCTGGACCAATCTAAAAGTGCGCCATACATTTTTTGTTCGAAACTTTTTCCCTATTTTTTTGGCGGTATTCCCGAGACATTATCTCTGAAATTTAATTTTTCGAAAATTTTTCCAAAATATTTTTTAGTGTAGCTCAGCATCCGCTGGACCAATCAAAAAGTGCGCCATACATTTTTTGTTCAGAACTTTCTTCTAATCACTATGGCGGTATTCCCGAACGATTATCTAGCGAATTTAATTTTACGTAAATTTTTCCAAATTTGTTTTCTAGTGTAGCTCAGCATCCGCTGGACCAATCAAAAAGTGCGCCATACATTTTTTGTTCGCTACTTTTTGCTAAAGACTTTGGCGATATTCCCGAACAATTATCTCGAAAATTTAATTTTTTGAAAATTTTTCCAAATTATTTTTGAGTGTAGCTCAGCATCCGCTGGACCAATCAAAAAGTGCGCCATACATTTTTTGTTCGAGACTCCCGGGTTAAGACTTTGGCGGTATTCCCGACCAATTATCTCGCAAATTTAATTTTTCGCAATTTTTTAAAAAATTTATCTGAGTGTAGCTCAGCATCCGCTGGACCAATCAAAAAGTGCGCCATACATTTTTTGTTCAGAACTTTCTTCTAATCACTATGGCGGTATTCCCGAACAATTATCTCGAAAATTTAATTTTTTGAAAATTTTTCCAAAATATGTTTTAGTGTAGCTCAGCATCCGCTGGACCAATCTAAAAGTACGCCATACATTTTTTGTTCGCTACTTTTTGCTAAAGACTTTGGCGGTATTCCCGAACAATTATCTCGAAAATTTAATTTTTCGAA